TGGCACGTGAGTTGTTCGTGCAGGATATTATAGCATGTGAGTTATCCGTGCAACACGTGAGTTGCCCGTGTGGATTATAGTGCTTGGGCTGTAGGAGCCCCTCCGGAGTCTGTACACCCCTAGTGAGCGCGGGTACCCACTGAGTGTGAGTGCTGAGAGCTGGGAGCCCAGTGAGTGATTATTGTCCTGAGAGGCTGTACTTGCTTTCCATTTGTTGTTGCACTTAGTTACTATCTGTCATTGTTGTGAAATTTTCTGAAATATTTTATAACTAGAATACATGAACTTGAATTGTATAGAATTGATTTGACTTAAACTTATGAAATTGAAAGCATGTCTACTCTCTGCTAGAATTACTGAAAAATGAACTATAACTGTGTAGCTCGTCTCTATCTTCAGTTCCTTATTTATTATTATTACTTGCTGAGTTGGTTGTACTCATACTATACCCTGCACTTCGTGTATAGGTCCAGGTGTTTCCGGACATAGCGGGTGTTGATTCGTTCACGCAGTTGATTTTTCGGAGATTTTGAAGTAGGTGCCGTATTTCGCAGACCTTGTCTCTCCTTCCCTATCTCCTTGTTTACTGTATTTGGTCTCAGACTATTATAGACCGTATTTTCCAGACTTGTAATCATATTAGATACTCATGTACTCAGTGACACCGGGTTTTGAGAGTGTTTATATATGTATTTGTGAATTTTCTTTCGCAGAACTTAATAATTATGTTTTTAAACTTAAAAGATATGGGAGTTTATTGAGATTGTCGTCTTGCCTAGTATTGAGATAGGTGCCATTATGATGAGTGAGATTTTTGGGTCGTGACAACTATCCATTGCATCACACTTTCAACATCCTCTTAAGTCTCATTTGTTACCAACCTGTACTCCATAATTATACCCCAATGGGTAATCATCATTTCTAGAACCTTGGGCTTTTCTTGCCCGTCGCTTGCGCATTGGATATATCTGGAATTCGATAGGAAGAGAAGCTTACCTATTGCTCTAAACTTCATGACATGATCTAAAGTAGAAGGAAATAAGACAGTCCTGAATATCTTGGTAGTTAACCGTTTATATGCATGGCCGGCACATACATATAAAGGAAACTCCACTGGACACGACTTTATAGACTCCCTAGGACACTTGAACCTAGTGCTCTGATACCAAGCTTTGTCACACCCCGAACCTGGGCCTGGACGTAACATGCACCCGATGCCTGACTACTGTGACAGAGCGAACCAACTAGCTGGCTGAATCAACATGTGATATCATAACATACTGAAAGTGGAAGATAAACTAACACATGTTGATACACTGAAAGTCTGAATTATATAAATTAATGTGCGGGAACACTAACATAAGTCTGAAGTATATTTGTAGCCAACATTGCTTAACATGAAAAGCCTGTGACTCTGTCTAACTGTTACTCTAGTCTATGAAGCCTCTAATGAAGTACTGAAAATACTGACTATCTATAAATACTGAAAGACTGCAAAGTAATGATAATACCCCAAAAGAACTAGGGCTCACCACATAGATAGTACGAGAATCCTAGTGCTCTGAATCGTCAACCTGTAAATTATTGCCTGCATCGTGAGATGCATACCCCGGGAAAAAGGGACGTCAGTATATTTGAATTGCACTGGTATGTAAAGCAACTGAAAGAAAGAAATATAAATGCTGAAACTAATATTGAGCTGATAACTGAGAATTGATAATTGATAACTAAAATGATAACTGTTGAAACTGAAACTGAAATGATAACTGATAACTGAACTGAACAAAGGAAGTAAGGATATGAATACTTCCTCTTCTAAAGGATGAACAACTTGTCTATCTGAATAAATAAATTGCGGCCTCAGGCCCAATATATATGTGCATAAACTGCGGCCTCGGGCCCAAGTACACGTATACATAACTACGGCCTCATGCCCAAGTATACGCATACATAACTGTAGCATCAGGCCCAAACATGCATAAAACATAAACTGCGGCCTCAGGCCCAAATATGCATAAAGCAAAGACTGCGGCCTCGGGTCCAAATACAGGTGTTCAACATCCAGGGATTTAAAAATAGGAATTGAGAATCGTACTGTAATACATTATACTGAAATAATGAACCATATTGAGTTACATGATATTTGAATGCTGAATAGAACTGAACTGAAACATGTATTCATGAGCTAATTATGAGTACTTATGCTTCAACTATTTATCACATGATGGTAATCTAGAATGAGACTCATGGGAATTAAACACAAGTCTATATTGATTACGCACTGAGCTCACAACGTTCAGAATGAAAGTCATGAACTAATTATGAAGCTAGAGAATATAAGTTCTGCAACTATTCAGGGAACTAGGCTTAATGATATTTCTGAGGCAATTAGTAACGTCGTAAAAGAAACGTAGTGTAGGGAGAATCATTAACACTACCAAACATAGAGAGTTAGCCTCACATACCTTAACTTCCTTCTCTTGAGCATAATACAACATTCGCCAACCCTTTCAACTTTAATCTATGTCAATACAAGTCAAAAGAATTCCATATTAGCAATACAATACCGATCGATACACTTAGACATTTCATCATACACTTTATGGGCGTAAAGCCTTATAACCCTCATTAATGATGTTTCTACACCCAACAACCCATTCTCTTGCTCCTAGATAAATTCTAAAATCTCAAATTATTATAATTAACATCATTCTTTATCACCCATAAGATAAACAACACCCTTAATCAATAATCAACGACCAACAACCTAAATCTATAACCGTTCATGCTTTTCTATCAAACTCATCAACTCATATCTCATGAACTTAGAGTCTATAATCATTAATCCAATGCTACAATCAATTAGAGGGTGAAAATATTACCTTTTGACGTTTAATCCTCTTGAATTCGAGTTCTAGAGTTTCTTCCCTCAACAATGATGTCTCGATCAAATATCTAATGATTTGGAGGGTTTACCCATGTTAATAAGGTGTTGGGGAATTGAAATTAACTCAGAATTACTATTAGAACTTACCTTGGATGGTGGAGGGACCTTTGAGGAGTTAGGTTCTTGAGAACTTCCCTTTCTAAAGCAAGTTTTTTGTGTTTTGGGTGTGGGGGACCAAGTAGGGCTTCAAATATGACCCCCTGGGTGCACTCCCGTACACTTAAAAGCCCAACCGTGCACCTAGATGTGCAGCAGGGCTATAGCACTGCCACAAGTGCGCGGCTGCGCACGGAACCATCTGGGCGCACACATACTCTGCATTGTCAAGTAAAATGCAAATAACCTTTGGCACACAGATCCTTTCGTGCTCCACAATATATCATTGGAAAGATATTTCAAAGGTATACAACTTTCGTGCTTTACGTTTTCTCAAATTCCCAACGGAGTTTCTTGAAATCCTTCTAGAAGACAGATATGTTTTAAACTTAGTCGATTTTATCGAATCTTATGCACCTCACTCTCCGTCTTGATTTCAAAATAATTATTTTCACCCATACTCATCCCGATAGGACTTCATATGTCTAAGATGTCACATTAATACTCATTTAACACGTCCATACCTAGTCCAAATTTACGGAGTGTTACAATGATTCAGCCAGCGAAACTCGCAATGAAGGGGAAGAAGTGACCTCGGTTCGCGAAGGACAACACCCTCAACATGTGCAGGGCCCGACTCCTGATGATGCGTAGGATGAGCAGGTTGTCGAAACAGTCAAAATCTTGAGAGAACGACAAAAGGCAATCATGGATAACCTTTCGAGGCAGGATCATGTGATGGCGGAATTGAAGTAGGCATTATCAAGCCCTTCCAATAACGCTAATGGAAGGGCTCCGGTTCCTCCTAGTATTCTCGCAAATCAGACGGCTCAAAGAATCGATAACAACACGCCGAGGGATGAAGTCGAATTTGACGAAGACGGAGGGATCGGTAAAGGATCTGGGAACAACGATTTGAATGATCCTTTCAAAATCGAGCTCATGAGATTCACAAGAGAAATGAATGAACGAATGAACCAGAAAGCAAAGGAGTTTCATGCTCGAATGTATCAGATCCCAGGCGTGCCGCCAGTATTAAAAGGACCAGATTCGAGGAAGTATACGCATTTGTCGTTTAAGCCGAGCGCGACACCGGAGTTAATCCCGAAGAGATTTAAGATGCTGGATATTCCGAAATATGATGGGACGTCGGACCGATAGGAGAACATCACGAACTACACCACAACTCTAAAGGGAAACAACTTGGCTCAACATGAGATCAAGTAGGGTTTGTTAAAGAAGTTTGGCGAAACCCTCACGAAGGGGGCTCTCATATAGTATTCTCTCTTACCTGAGCATTCAGTCGATTCTTTTGAAATGCTTGCAGATTCGTTCATCAAAGCCCATGCTGGAGCTAGGGGTGGGTATCGGTCTATTCGGTTATCGGTTTATAAATATGCAAAATCGATAATCGAACCTATAAGAAAAATTATCGGTTAATCGGTTATCAACCGTTATCTGTTCGGTTATCGATTTACCCAATAAAATAACTCAATCTAGATCAAAATTATTATTTTCACCCTTTGGTTTGACAAACGAAAAATATTCAAAATGGCAAAACTTCTTCAGAAGGTCGCAATTGAAAGATTTTCTTATTGTTTTAGTCCTTTAGACATAACACGAGGTCAAAATGGAGTGGAACAACAAACAACCACAACCATAGGATAAGCTCAGCAACAAGTTGTGCCACTGTACTAACTCCTCCTATCCTACTCATGTTCAATACCTTTTTAATACAAAATCATTTACGGGACAGATACAATAATGAGAACTGGCAAGAAGAACAAGAGTATTCAACAGTTTTTCAAACAACAAACACTATAGAAAACAGTTTTAATACTTAAACAACAGTTATCCAAACACATTACACAAAAACACAAAATAGTAGTAATTACACCTTGATTAACAAGTCCAAACATACTACTAATAGTTTATGTAAAAGTTAACAAGAAAATAACTACTCAATTCGTATAGGTTCCATCGAATTGCGCTCCAAACAACGCTCAACATATTTCATTAAGCATTTAGTGCCAATACGTCGCGCATTGTAATGAAGAACAAGACGACAATGACTACATCTTACTTTCCACCATCCATCATCACCTTCTTCAATCCTTTCATAGTAACTCCAAACATATGAGGTAGATTTGTGCCCACGAAGTTGAAGAGTCCCTTCACACACTAAAGTAACAGTTTTACTGTCGTACTCATCCAAAGAGATGTGCAATGATTCTACTGCTTGCATCAAGTAAGGCTTAAGCTTCTCTGCACAGTTTGCAAATACTTTCTCCCCCAACCTCTTAGCAATTGGTGTCACCTCCTGAAAGAAACTTATTAAATTTAGCATTGTCACGAGACTACAGAGAACTCAAGTATAACATAAAAATATATCATCTCTTCGACCTCGACATACATCATTGTCCTTTTTAACACTAGCCAATAGAGGGCTGAGCAACTCAACGGGTAACTCTTCACTTTCTTCCAGCACAAGAGTCATGATATTTTCCATGGATGAGAAGATATTCTCTGGGTGATCCTCTCTGAAAGTGGAAGGCAATGAATGAAGGAGCAGCAGCACATCATACCATGAATCAATAACCAAACATTACACAAACAAAATTTTTGTTGAACGATTAAGATATATGGCAATACCTTATAGCTTTAAGGAAGTGCTGAAACATCTCAGTAATGAGCTTATCACATTCTAGATCCAACATGACAACACATAACCTGACCTTGGCCACTGTCTCAAGGATCAACACCCTCTTATTATATGATCTGCTGGACTGGTCATGTAAATTCTCAAAGGATGATACAATTAATTGAAAGACATCCTGTATCCACCAAATATATGGAATGTTATTGATCAAGGGCTAATATATAAGAAAGAAGTAGTATGAGAAAGCAAACTTCACATACCTTCATTTTGTCATCATTATATGGAGCGTCGGGCGCAGTAATTCTAGTTATCTCACTTATACAAGAAGCAACTGCGACCTTCACATCAAGATCAGAATGCCTCAGGAGGTCATTTGCAACCAAAGCCTTCATCAATGGAGAAAGTGCAACATGCATTGATATAGTCGCTGATTGGTCCACCTTTGACAGGGAAGATTCTACTTGCTTAAAGCAGAAAAACCCAAAAAAGTATTTTAAGATTAGCCAAGCATAGTAACCACAATTACCTAAAAAAATTTAAAAAGGGCTTACGTCAAGCAAGATGATGAGTTGGTCAAGTGAAGAAAGAGGTTGAAGAAGCTTATTCCCAGCTTCCGCAAGTTGTTCTTCTAGCTCTGTATCTGAAGTCGACATCGTTGTTTCTTCAAGATCTCCTAATAACATCTAACATGGTTGATCAGAAAGTTTACACGCGAGACTAATTTTGATAAATAAGCTACATTGAGCAACCAACAATTCTCAGGAAGCCATTACACAACTGAGTGAACTGGACTAATAGATAAGCACGCACTTCCAAATTTGGATCTCATTTCACCGATGTGATTTTACCGATACATAGATACAAGTCTGTGTTTTGATACTAGTTGTAAGGTATGCGCGTGCAGAGCCGGCTCAATAAATATGGAGGCCTAAAGCAAAAATTCAGTGAGAGACCCTTTTTTATATAAAAAAAAAAAATTCATATATAGTTTCATTTAAATTATGTATTACTAGTTTTTCATATGCCAAGTTATTAATAATTTTATCTAATCCATTTAATTTCTCTTGAGATATACACGTTGTGGTTGTGGGACTGTATTAAAATTTTAACCTTTTTTGAGTTATGAATTAATAATCGAATTCTTTCTCAATTTATGGTGTAGAGAGTGATTCCCAAAAAAAATATTTTTTCTCAATTTATGATCAACAATTTAATCCTACTTTTTTACTATGAAAATTTATACTTTCTCATTTAAAGCACTAAATGTTCTTCTAAAAATAAATTAATATATAACCTATTAAAAATATTTGGGCCCCCAAAAATTATGAGGCCCAAAGCAGTTGCTTTAGCGGCCTTACCCTTGGGCCGACACTGCGCGTTTGTACACCAAATCAATGAATATAAATATTTTTGAAAATTACGTAAATAATATTAAAATGTGTTTGCATTAAAAAATAAAGATTAAAAACATATACTTTCTGGAAATGATGAACGTTGAACATTTTACCAAACTCAATAAAAGGAGGAATCTAACTACAATAAATCCATGAATGCATGCCTTATTGTAGTTTTGATATATGAGTTTATTTGCTTTGGCAGTCAAGAGACTCAATACGGACTTGTATTCACATTAGTCACAAGAGTAATTTTCTTTTATGAAAAGATCAATATCTTTAATACGAAGAATACCACAAATATGACAACATGGAGAAATATCTTGAAGAAAATAAATAATACAGTAGTTTTTTTAAATATAAATCCATAACTTGAAAAAAGAATGGGTTTAATATAATGCTAATAACCTTGAAAATTGAACACATAAAATTTAAATCATAGATCTACCTAATATAAAAAACAACGTAATATTATTCTAGGGGCATAAAACTCTCTAGTTTTGTCCTTCACTTTCTCTCAAAGGGACCTTTTTTAATTCAATGCCCATTGGAGATAATCATTAATAGTTTGGTTCAAATAAGAATTTTTTCCTCACAACTATTAAAAAAATACTTCTAATACTTATTTTGTGACAATTATAATTTCTCCAGTTGAAAAAAAATATAACAATCAAATTCAACTGTATGCGTCCACCAAAACTGTAATAGCATTAAGACCAACATAAAAACAGAGAGGACAACATAAAAACATAGATACTTGAAGATATTATTTTGTAAAATTGAGGTCAGGTTCAAAAACAAATAGAAGACACAATTTATCATGCCATAAACGAAATAAGCAAACACAAAGTCGTGTAACGATATAACTCATACATACAATACATGCAATCTCATAAAGCTTCTAAATAATTTCTTCTTAGAATATATTGAAAATTAAATAAATATAATCGATGAATATAGAAATTTTCAAGATCTATGCAGAACAGTGCATATCCCTAACATTAAAGCAACACCAATTACATTTTTATTTCTGAATTAAAAGTGAACGGCAATAATTCACAAGTGGGAAAAAAAAAATATTTTTTCCCAAAACTCAAGGTTTAATATGCATAAAACCTTATAGAGCAGAAATTTGATTTTCAACCGAGGAAATTTAATAATCCGCACTCATTATAACTTCTATTCTGGTAAAAATACTTATAGCTTCTAATTTGCTAATTAGAGTTCGCTGGATAAATATACTTACATCCTTAAAGAATAGGACTAATTTTTTCTCTTAACACCACATATAGTTCAAAATTAATTCCCCAAGCTGCCAAGCATGAAACAAAATATTTACATAAAGAAAATAAAGTCAAGAAATAAGACATACGAAGCAAAATTTCAAAATGTTAGAAGCGTCAAATATCAAAATCTGCTAGAAATACTTATAGCTACTACTCTGCTAATTAGAGTTCGCCGGATAAATATATGTATTTCCTTGAAGAACACTTTCTTTCTCTTAATACCCCACATAGTTCAAAGTTAATTCCCGGAAGCATTTAAACAAAAACTTCATATAAGAAAATACAGTCAAGAAAATAGACATACAAAACAAAATTTCAGATTGATATAAGCGTCAAATATCATAATTTAGCTAAGATATGAGTATCAAACCTTCCAGAATCAAATTAAAGTCGATAAAGCAAGACAATTGATAATTTGAACGTAGTAGAATTGTGGGTAAACTTTACGTTCATTGTTAGGTTTTTATAGATGTATTTTTCTAACCTAAGTATGTAGTTATTTAGATTTAAAAGGCAAGGCAAACTTTAATTAATTTTAAAATCCTAATTCTTAGGAAAATAGTTAATGACTGTTTTGTCTAGTATAAAATCTATTTAAAAAGGGTAAAAAAGGTCAACGATATTTCGTTAAGGGTTCTCGTGCTTCCTTAGAGAAATATCGTTCGTCCTTTTTACTCTTCTAAACATAGAGTTCACACTAGACAAAATTGTCATTTGATAAATTTTTCTATAGTTAAAAATAGTCATTTAATTATTTTCCTAATTTTTAGGACTTAGACTTTTAAATTCCTTACCATACTAAAATTCCTACACTATTCAGTTCACAGTAGTTTCGCCCACTTTATAAGCCTTTAGGTTTAGGAGGGTTTTGTTTAAATTAATAAAATTTTGACAAATCAAGTTTTTATAAAGAATATATTAGGTGAACGAGCACTTGAACGCCTTTTCGATTTAGGAGTCTTTGTTTTAATAAAATTTTCTTTGTATTTGAACTATATATACACAAGATTTTACTTACATAAATTCTTCCTTATTTATAGTATTATATAATCTTAATTATATTCCTTCTATATTGTTTTACTAAATAATATAAAAAGCCTTGTTGATCTTTGGCACCTAGCTTGACGAGATATGAATTTGCTCCTTTGTCGTTACAGAATAATATTGCAAGCTTTGGTAGTCTTTTCTTGTGTAGAAATAACACCAGGTAGCCACCGTAAAGGGCTTCTATTTTCTTGTTTTAGTTTGTTGTTATTTTTGTTTTTGATGCTTTTATGTTGCTTTGGAAAAATTGTTTTCCATTTAAGTCTTTTTTTCTTATTGACCATCTAATTCAATTTTTTTAAAGAATAAAAGATTATGTTAGTTAAGATTTGTGTCTAATATTCTGGTTTCCTTTTCTTATCGAATACCTTCTTTCAAAATTTAGGTTAAAGTCATTTTCCTTTTCTTATTTTTCATCCAATCTTTTAGAAAAAAATTATGCCATTTTGAAAATTTAGATTAAAAGAGGATTTACCACGCTTGAAAGTATCTAAACACCGTCGTCATTTCTGATTTATAAAAAGTGCTCCTCTCTAGCCACATATATCCATCAACTCTTTCATGTATGCTTTCTCTTTCTTTTCTTTTGTGATTTGAAAATATTTAACTATAATGTATTAAGTTATATGTTATAAATAGGAAATCAACGATAGTCAGTTTTAAACTTTATATAATCACTTATTAATTTTTTGATAACTTACACTTTTTCCTTTAATTAAATAAATTATTAAAAATTAACAATGTAACTTCTTTTAAACTTGTATAATATTACTATAGGCACACACGCAGAGTGCGTATACTAAGACTAGTATAGTATACATACCAGTCATAGGATATACACGATGCGCGTGTACCTTATATTAATGTATATAATCTTTTTTAAAATATGTAATATTATTAAATGATATATTTAAGTTATAAAATAATTTTTTGAAAATACTCTTGAAAAATAAGAATATTGGTCCTATTTTTTTCAACAACGTAGAGAATGGAGTAGTAATGCATGAAAATGACCAAGAAGTAGTTTTGAAAGCTCAGTACCATGTATTCAAGACATGTCAACTACAAAAAGAAAATGAATTAGCGATTGGCAAATCATGTAGTTAAACAATAAAAATTCGTCACAAATTCTATTTAGTGATTGCTATTTTTCAACACTAATTACTGTGATGACCCAAAAGGTCATCTTATGTTTTAGAATTCGAATCTGCGCTCTTAAGCCTTAAAATCTCATTTTTATCTTTCTTGATTTGCGTGTGTAGTCCGGGCAGGTTTCCAGAAAGCTTTTATATTGAAAATTGATAAAAATAAGAATTTATGCCTTAAAAGTTAATTTTAGTTGATTTCGGTCAATATTTTTAGTAAACAGTCCTGGATCTATATTTTGACGGTCCCAGTAGGTCTGTATCGAATTATGGGACCTGGGCGTATGCCCGGAACTGAATTCAGAGGTCCCTAGCTTGAGTTATGAATTTTTGATGAAAATTAAAAGTCTGAAAATTATTTATTTTTAAAAATTGATTGATATTTGGCATTGTTAGTATCAGGTCTGTATTTTGGTTCCGGAGCCCGGTACAGGTTCATTATGATATTTAAAACTTGTCAGTGAAATTTGGTGAGAAACGAAGTTGATTTGACGTGATTCGGACGTCCAGTTGAGAAGATATGAATTTTAAAGTGTTCTTGAGAATT